AGCTTGTAGTTACTGATGCTGCTTACTTGTCTGCATCAGTTATTTTCCTGATGTTTTTTTTTTCAGTTTAATAGGGAGTCTGTTATGAATTGTCATCAGAATGGTATTTAAAATGGTGTAGAGGAGTAGATGTGGTGGTTTTGGTGCTTTCCAGAAATCTCAAAGGTGTTATTTCTGTAGGAACTTGAATTATTTGACAAAAATCTCCATCCCTAGTATACACTATCAGATTTTGGTTTGTCAGATAAATATATATTTTAAAACTAATGTTTAAATTCATTTTAAAACTAATTTGTTTTTAACATAACTTTTGAGTCGGTTGTTCTTGGTTGTGTTTACGTGTTTTTGTGTATACTACTGTACACTTGCCTGTGCAGATACTCTATGCTGTGGAAGTGAAATTCCTATATAAAATGGAATGTGTTTAAGGTTCATGTAGGTTCATTTCATTTGACAAGAAGCACACCAATTAATGCAGATAACCAATAGGAGCTTCTGATTGCACGATGACGGTAGGATGTAGAACGTAATGACGTCACTAAAAGTCATCTGCGCAAGCGAGAACGTTATGGTCACCTCGTCGAGCAGATTCTGGAACGCAATTTGGCCAAATCTACGTATGCTGAGACCGTAGGATGCCAAGTAGGACGGTCACGCATGAGTGATTCCGTTCTAGCGTTGCGTCGTCGCACAAATCGAAAGCTCCCTATTGGCTGATAGCACCCTGTCCTAAAAGAGTAGTTTTGACCTGTTTCTGCAGTACACTCATGCTCATATTTAGGAGCCTATTTTAATTTTTTTTTTATGGTAAATAAATCAAAGCAAGTCATATCCAGTAGACATGGAGAGACATTATGTATTCGTATTAATCATTACATCTCTGAATCAAGCATACATTATGTAAAATTGATAATTTTGTCAACATATAAGATATAAAATGTTATTGTTCGTTTGAATAATGGAACTAGTCTGTAGCTGAAACTAAAGTTAATTTTCTATTCTTTGTCTAAAAACAGATTTATTTTTTTTAGCTACATCAAAAAATTGTTTAATTGCTATAAAAATGAGAGTTCAGAATGTTTTTTATGCCTATCATAAGTACAGAATAAAGTTAAGCACACTTTCACTCAGTATTTGACACAGAAAGACAATTGGTGAAATAATTAATAGAAAATTGTAAACTGTTGGTATTACAGTATAGCATGAGTATAGTTATGCATTCAAACAGTTTGGAACCAAGCACGTTTTTAGTTTATTTTGTTTCTTTGAAACTTATACTGTGTACATATTGTACTATCTCAAAAAGAAGCCCATGGGCTTCTTTTCGAGGCTACTTTTGCAAACTAATGAGGGGTAATTCAATTCGAGCTTAGAGATGATTCGAGATGGACTTCTTCTGGAGATTAAGCCTCTTGGGCTTCTATTCAATGTTGTACGATATTATGTTTTGTAATAATAAGTTCCTATGACACTGTAACTTAAATATAGTCATAATAATACATAATGCTATAAGGTTCTATGCACTTCACAAAAAAATAAAATAGATTAATAAATGTTTGAAAGTCATGACAGTCAGCCTAGCACAACGGAATGTAAATTCTCTAAGGGTCACCATCCATCTTCACTTTAGCGTATTCCCGGATCCCTCCCTAGGTGAATCAAGCAAACTAACAGTTACACATTTGCCTTGCCACAGGCGTACTTAGACTTAAAAATATAGAGGCAAAGATATGGCAACCTAGAGAAAGATGAATTGAAAGCCAGGTTATGTTGTGCTAGGTATAGAAAGTAATGGTCGGTGAGAAAATTAAATAACTTGATTCCGAGTAGGACTGGTGCAAATAAACAGGAGTGCTTTTCAGTTTTTACTTCCTTGTTCTCTTGTTTCATTGTCAGTGCACTTCACTGTTGAGATGAGGGTGTCAGTGACCGTTAATTACAGCCATTATGTTTTCTTATTTTTGCTAGAATAACAGTAAGTAGCATTAAAGGAACTGTCATATCATTACATCTGTATTAGAAACAGTACATATCAGAGGCAAATGGGTGGGGGAGGGTCACAGGGGATCACAGGCTTAGCTAGTGAGCCATCCGGCCAACTTTCACCGTGACAGCTTTGGCTGATCATTTCGGCCTAGCCTAATTGGACCTGGTCTATTCTTTATATTCTTCAAATCTATCGAATGTTACATAAAGCTAAATCATATTTACATTTGATAAAAATAATCTTTGTTGATTGAATGTATGTTGTTTTCATACCAATATTCGGTGGGGATTCCCAAAAATGTAAGGCTTAACCATTGCCTACCCGGTCGAAAGTTCACGTACAACATGCGTCGTGTTACAAAAACATTTATACCCCACTGGAAAATGGACGGTTCTGAGTCGCCCACAATGCATGCACTTGGCTCTGCAAATACAATACTTGAGATTCGGTTCCCCTACACAATATTATGTTGGTGTTCATAACTCACTGGTTATACTTACATTAATTCATGAAATACCGTAAAGAAGATTTGTTGTTAAATTTTTAAGTCAACAAAATACAGTAGGTCTAGGCCTATCTCTCGATTAGAGTAGAATTTACACTAGACTAAGGCGAGAGATGAAGATGCATCTGCATAGCCTAGAAACATGTGAGTAACAATAGCTCTGCGCAATCTAGGTGTATGTCTATAACTGAAATATCTTTGAGAAAGCTAGCTGAACACTATTCCTTTGAAGACAGAATTCCAACATTTAAACACCTTTAAATTCCCTCTAAAGAACATAATTTTCAATTTTTTTCTTTATGCTTGGGAAGAGGCTTTGTCAAGTGAGCATGTCTCGCATAACGGCTCAGGGCCACACCTACTGGCTTCCATTTTGGACGGCCTACTTCGTTTTCCTGGCTAAACCCCTGCAGGGAATAGGGAGAAAAAGAAAAGAGAGAAGAAAAGAAATGAGAACGAGTGGAGCACGGAACTCCAAAACAGCTAATAATATTTTATTTGACTGACCATGTAGAGGTACCAGTGTCTATGGTCAAGCAGTTCTGAACAAAATTCTCAAACACCACAATTCGCTTGGCCCTTACCCAGAATTTTCTCTGGATCCGCCCCTGCATATTATTAATTAATTGAGCATGACAGAATATTGTTGATTCTGTTTAATAGGGCAATATCATTGGTATAATATTTATTTACCATTATTATGTAATTTCAAGTTGTGAGGGTGCTGTTGAAAATATTAGCTTAAGGAACTGTCATTTTCTGAAGAAAAAAAGTGCCTGGTGAGCAGTGATGGTTCACACAGGGGCTAAAGGCAGTCCTTGAGGAACCAATGCCACAACATCCTACTATTTACCTATTTATACCAATGGTTCCAACCCTCCCGACTCGATCAGGAGTCTCGAATTCACACGCTATCTCCCGAATTTGTTCGTTTCCTGAATTTCAAAAACTAGGACTAGGTAGGCCTAGGTATGTTGTACTTACAGTACAACCACAAAATTTTAACGTGCAGCCGTTAAAAAGAACATGAGATTCGCATGGAATATAGATGAAATTAATTATTAGGCCACATGAATAAAAAACCATAGGTATCTTATAAATTACGTTTATGACTCGACTCCTCGAAAGATATAATGCTATCAGAACATTTCGACGTTGAGGGTGCTTTTCACTAATTGATGGGAATAGGGGCGCCCTTCACCTACAAATTCTCCCATTTGTTAGGTCTAGGGGTTGGAACGTCTGTTATACTCCTGGAAAATAAGCAACAACCTACCCTAAGTTGCCCAAGGGTGCAAGTAAAATGCACAAGGGATTTGAAAAACTGACCTCAAGTCAACTGATCTCAAGTCAACTGACATCTCAAGTCTGAACTTCAACCCTTGTGCCAATTGCTCTCCAACACCAAAATTAAATGTACAATAAATTGTATATTTTTTAGTATTCATGACGATTTGAATAAAATAGAAGATAAATTTGTTAAACTTCTTTTCATGAGTTCAAGGCTTTTGTTGCTATTCTAATAACTAAAGTGTTATGAATTTCTCATGTTGTGGGAGTAAGTGTGAAATAATGAGTTGTTGGAGATTAGTGTCCCTTAGCAGAAGTCTACTGCTACAATATGTGTAATGTATTTTAAATTTACAATAGATTATGTTCACGCACAATTCTATTGTTACATCTTCAGTGTCTGTGTGAACTCATGTTTAACGTGAAACAAGTCCCATTGATTATATTGATTTTCCATTGTCGTTAATTGTAAATTAAATAATAGCTATCTATAACCAAATGTTTTGTATGTCACCAATGTTTTTAACAGTATAATTATAATTAAGTGTTGGAAGTTTACAATTTATTGGATTATTAAATAAAAACTCTGATAGAATGAATTGGATGGAATTCAGTGTAAACACCAAGGATAACCCACAAAAGTGGGGTCCAGGTTGTGATTGGGTCCTTCTGGTTGTGATTGAGCAGTACACCTGGCCCGAGATTTATCAATCTCAGCTCAGCAAATGTCTTAAGTCAAAAAAGATGTCCGTAAGCTGATTTATTAAACCATCTTAGCAAAATCTTCACTTAAAAGTCATTTTAGATGGCGCTTCCGTACAATTGACTTCATAATTTTAAGCAATTTTTAAGCTAAACGGTATTGATAAATTTGACTTAAGCAAAAAAATGGACTTAAGAATGAATTTAAGCTGATTTTTAGTTTGATAAATCTGACCCCAGGAGTGTATTCTCTAACATGCACCTAGTAATATTGCACACAGAACCAACTGTGTAAATGACTCATCCGAAAGACAGTGTGCTGTTAAAACTTGCATTTGAGCCCTCCACAAAAGAACAGCAATTAGAATTCAACTGGAGAGCCAAGAGATCTCCATGGTTCAGTACACACACAGTGGCCAGCACAAGTTTAGCTCGCTAAGCTGCTTTAAATCTATGTGATTGGTTTAATAGTTTTCCATTAATGTTTTTTGGTTTTTTTTTTCATTTTCTTTGCAGATAGTTTGCTGTAAGGAGAGGTGCGAAATTTTACAACTGTACTGTATAAAAAGGAATATCTGGTAACAGGTAATATCATGAAATTTAAGGTTGATGATGATGATAATTATAATCAAGATAATGATTATTATTTATTTAAAATTCAGGATTTTCATTTTATCATGGTTTCCATAATCTATGATACTAAAATACTTTATGATTATGAAGATAAATGAAAAATATTTTATTCAAGTACATTTTCATCTTTTTTATAGGTAAAATTAAATAAATGAAAATAAATATATAATTAATAAATTTGTAAAATAAATTATAATTGCATTCTGGAATGTTAATTTAAATATTTCCATGAAAGCTTCTTTTGTACAATTTTATCTGAATATCATGGAATTAAGTAAATTGTCTAGTGTTTGATAAATAATTGGAATTGAATTACTTTGACTACAATGTCAAGTAGAAGACAACTAATAAAAAATATAGTTACATACTTCACTAATGAAAAATGTCTGCAATCTGCTGGATAACATATTTAAGGCCAAATAAAAAAAATTACTAGTTTCTTGTCCATTCGCGCATTCATTTTCTCAGCCTCACCAACTTGTTTTTTTCCCCCTTTTATTTCCTTTATTTTAACAATGTATGAAAATCACATCAGTAAAGTTCCTTTCTCGATCGTTCGTGGTTTCAGATACATATGGTATGAATCATGTCTAGTGCTTCTTTTATTTGTTTTCAATGTTTTTACTTGGTCAAAGTGAGATAGTAGCTGTTTCCCATCGACCATCTTGGATTTGCCATCTTGGAGTAAAAGAAAAAGGAAAAGTGCCCTCATTCCCCTTTTTTCTAAGTATTAGGACAAGGAACTACTTTTTTTCTTTACTTGGCCTAAACTCAAGAAGTATGTGCAATTGATATTGTACGTTTTTACTAGTCTGCTCTAAATGAACCAGTTTCAAATTGTCGTCTCCATCTGTAGCAATATTCCGTGCATTGTTATAAATATGTCTGGACATTTTAATGAACAGGAGAAAGAACGAGAAAGCTAAACCGAGTGAAACATATATTGGCATTTATGTCACCATGACAAAGAAAAGACAAATGTATGTAAATCAATCATTGAAAAGACGGCAACTAATAGCCTCAATTGCTTTATGACTCCTTCTCTATTTATTTTGTTTTTATAGATTTAATTTCGAAGTCAAATACACTGCGGAGAATAATGGAGACGCATTGGCTGTTGGCTATGCTCCTACTTCTTACAGGAGGAGTCGGTATGTATTGGACAAAACAATTACTGAATATGAGTATGACAACTCCAAAAAATGACAGACGTGAGGCCATAATTGATTCTACGTTTCGTTCTTTATTTGAACATTGTCAAAAATGAAAACAATTTCTGTAATATAAAGAGAATATGACGTTCTAAAATAAATAGTAAAAATAGAGAAAAAAATAGTAATATACCATTTTATTGAATATTAAGTGAACTACAAAATTGTGTTCACAAATATATATAGTACAGTAAAATGATCATGTTGTATAATATACAATATTACAAAAAATAGATTGATAACAACTGTAACTGTATAAGGTTTGGTTCAGGGGTATACCCTCATTGACTAGTCAGTAAACTTACCATTCAGAAGATGAACTTTGGATATTATATTTTATTAATCATTTTCATTTATTAAATCCACTTGTGATTGCTGAGATAATATTATTGATTGAAACTTGAGATAAAAAGATCAAAGTAAATGGAAAGGCGGGCTGTTGTAGGTCAGCGTACCACCGACATACAAAGATTGTTAAAATTCTAATATCTCTTCACGTGCTGCAAACTACAGTAAACTATACAGTATTGACTTACACTTAATAGCGCTATAATAATTGAACAGGTAATAAAGTTTCGCTTGTAGAAATATACAGTACCCTTTAATGATAGCAATTTAATTACCTTTATAAAATAATTAATTGCAAAATGTGGTTTGTTTTAATTATGTTCTTTATTTGACACTTTGTAATTATGGATTAAATTTAAATACTAATTCACATTTCTTTAAGGCCTGAATTATAGTCCTATGGGTAAATATTAGGTTGATGATAATATTATTGATTCTGTATATAGTGCTTACTGCTCTGGGCACTTTTTGACAATCTTAGACATTAGGACAGTCAATGAGGTAACACACACAGAGGTGGCGTTACATAATTTTGCAGCTAGTGCATTAGCATTCAAACTTACCATGCACCCATTGGTTAGAGAGATAGAGAGAGGGGGGAGACAACATGGGGAAAGTGTTTGCCTAATAGTACAAACAAGTGACCATAGTCAGGCTTAGATTTCCAGGGGTCAGCTGCACTGGGCCCTAACATTAACGAAAGAAATATGCATGTCAAAGATTGAAACATTCAAATTAAATTTTGAGAGTGTCATTTCCAGTCAACTAGTAGTGCTAGCACATTTATTAAATGCTGTAAATCAGCCACAACCTTAATGTGGTCAGGACCCTCCATTAATAAGTCCCTTTCTTAGCTTCCTCTATTGTAAATTTTTTGGAGGCAGTGGACATTTTGTTTTGTTAAAAAGTTTGACATCAATAATAATACACACATTCGAAATTAAATTTTATAATACATTCTTTAAGTCTTGAAAATTTACTAAAATATACATTATTGTCATTTTTTGAAAATAGAAGGAAAATATTAACAAGGAATGCTTCAAAAACAAAGGGACATTCTGATAAAAACATAAACAACAAGGTTTTTGTTATTTTTTTAAGACTTTTTCTAGGACCTTTTACAAAGTGTCTACAATATGCAAGTTAGCAAGCCATGTAATTTTAGATGTGGATTTAATTGCTGAATTGTAATATATATCATACATTAAAAGAATGTACTGTATATATACAGTACAAGTTATGAGTTATATATACATGTAGGTAATCTATAGGGCTTAATTACTAAGTTTGTCATTCATCATCAACAAATAATTGATCCTGTGGGTTCAACTCGAGGTCATCAACAGATGTACGATAAATGTAATGATTTGAATACAATTTCTATATTTTATTATAATCCCCTCTTATCAACTGCAAGTGTAATGCTGGCTGGTGCATTGCTGTAATGATTAAAATACCATTGAAATTGTTAATTTTATATTACTGTATTCCAAATGGATAGGATAAGCACTGCAAAATGTTTTTATTAAACATAAGTTTAAGTTATTGGCCGTATTTGACACATCGTTCTTTGTTAAAACACGCCCGCCTACGCAGTGGTAAAATCCTACTTAACGAAGACGACCAGTCGAATAGAAAACTGATTGTGGCAGTATGGGTTTTTCGTAAAAAAATGGTTTCATTCAGTTTTTGAATTCTGTTAGCCTACAATTATTTTTTGACTTCAATGTGACTAAATATTGTAATTTTTATTTTCTGAAATTTAATCTAAATGATATTGTTGCTAAACTGACCAATTGGCCATATTTTTTTTTGGTCACGTGCATAACTTAACGCTGATTAACGCATTCTGGTTACGTTAATTTTCGTTTTCAATGAACCAGTCAAATGAAAGTAATACTCAACGAAAAATCATGCTCAACGAAATGAACCAGTCAAATACGCCTATTGTCCAGACTATCAAATTTTATGTGACATATAACATATCTAAATATGACATCACATTATAGCCATATATAGGCACATTATGACCATATATAGGCACATCATGACTATTTATAGGCATACAACAGTTTTTTGTCCGAGAAAATGTAATAATCAAGACAGAGCTTAAGATAATGCTTTTAAGTTTTAATCAATGGAGAAAAAGCATTATGCTGTTTATTCAGAAGAGACTAATCCAAGGGTACAAACATTAGATATTTGTGTGGTTTGTTTTTTTCCTACACATTACACATTAATTACGTGGCGCAAGTAATTGTTGTAAGTTTAATCTTAAATTGCAGTTCAAATCAGATGGATTTTAATTTTTGGTTTCAATTTATATTTTGTATTTGTACTTCAATGCCTAGGCCTAATGTTATAGTTCTGATATGCACTTAGTTATAAATATTAATAATTATTATTATATACTATTTAATATATTTCTGTAATAATAGATTCATGCTTTTCAGAATTATAAAGTCATTCTTATAATACTAAATAATCATGAAGTTAAAAAGCATCTTAACCTGTTGCAAAATATTGACACTATCAAACTATTTTTTCTTTATAGATCATGCTGCAACGCAAGGTCAGTAAAATATAGCATCTTTGTAAAAAATTAACATAGTAGAATATCATATTGCACATTATTCTATGGGGTGGTTGCACATTTTGTATTAGTTTTTTAACATTGGCAATTCTTCTTCATAATTGTCTTTCATAATCTGTTCTATTTCTGCACTTTTAACGTTGTATTTCTCACATTTTCTAAATGTAGTAGAAGTCTAAAGTCTATGTAGTATATAGCTTATACTGTTGATTAACAACTTGTTATAGTTTTGTGGAACTGTTAAAAATGTTTGTAGATTTTAAAGATGTACTATCAGTCATGAGGTAAAAAGATGTGTATATTCAAAGCAAGTTATTAACTTCAAATTAAAAATTTTGAATTTTTCGGACAGTTAATACCTTTCCGGTATTCCTTTACATAGATCCTTATTGGCTGGTAATCAATTTTAGGATTTTTGTAGTAAAATGTCTGTAAATTGGTAAAAACAACTTTTTATTATCTGTTTCTTGTTGGAAACTAAAAATGTAATACTTTTAAAATGAGCTGTTCAAAATTTTATTTTAAATTTTTGAGGTATTTTCCTGTTTAAGCAGCTAGCTCAGTCAGTGGTAGCCACTATGTGTGTGCTGAACTGTGGTGATCTCTTGGCCCTCAGTTCAATTACTATCACTGCTGGACCCTTGTGTTTCAAAAGCGCACCATCTTTCAGATGAGATGTTTAAGCTGTTGGTCCTGTTTGCAAAATGACTGATGTACACCTTAAAGAATGCAGTACACTTTTCGGAAAAGAGTAGAGGATTGTCTCCCGGTGTTCTGCCCAATTCACCACAAGGAGGACCCCACTGAAAATAGGTCTTTCTTGGATTATCCTTGGCGTGATTCACACCAAACCAATCCAATCCATTCTTGACTGATAGTTCATTTTTAAGTGTTCATATTTTTCCTGTGATACATTTTGATACAATATTGATTGATTAGAGAGATTTTGCATTAAAACTTAAAAAGTTAGCAAGCAAAGTACTTTCATCATTCTCAACATTTGTGGTATCATTTGAGGCATGTTGTGGCAAAATGGCTAAGTTGTAGCAAAAATTTGGTTATTGGTATTTTCAGATACCTGAGTATGTAATCTTTAATATGAGGGGTCATTCAATGAAATTGGACATTTCAAGTCTAAGTTATTGGAAAGTGAAAGTACAGCACTCTTCGAGTCAAGATAAACATGCTTTTGAGTAATTGCCTTCCAAAGTTATTTGTGCATACATTGTTTAATAGAATTAACTATCTAAATAACATTAAATAAACGATTGGTTGACCAATTCAAAACTAATGCTTGGGGACATGATTAATAAGACATTAAATTGTTGATTTATAGTGAAAAAAAATTTGGATTTTTAGGCAATTTTTTGAGCTCCCATTAGCTCATTTACACAATACTGGCATGCGCAGACAACTTAACCATTTCACCACAACATGCCTCATTTGTAAGCTCTTTAGCAATATGGGCTTCTAATTATGTCTTAGAGGCCAGCTCAGATATTGTAGTACAATGCAGCTCGGACGCAGTCTAAGGTCTCAGGTCATCATGATCTATTCACAGTGTCATGATGATTCATTTCACTTGCATTTAACCCACTTTAAATCATTTTGGTGTGCATTGTACGATGTGGTCTGAGTTGGCTTTAAGTCAGTACATATTAGAGCTTTGTAAAATTAATAGTTTAGATTCTTTCTAGTAGTTTTGTTGGTGTTACTACTATTGGATTGACTAAATAAAATTTTAAAAAAAATGATGCAGAATGCACCCGTCCATGCTGCGCTAGCTTGCGCTGCTCTTTCCAATACTGCACTTGACTGTGCCGTGATAGCCCACAGTGTGATTGCCCATACTACCCTTGGCCATGCTGCGTTAGTCCAATCTGCAATTGCAAGGTCAGTGTTTGCTCATCTACTGTAAGCTGCACTGGTCCATGCTTTCAACGTTTTCAAAAACTATTTGAATGCAAAACCTCTCTACTGCCAAAGACAAGGCTTTTCATTTCAACATTTGCACTATTTTAATTTAATTGTTATATGTTGCACAATATTTGTATTAGATACAATTACAGTTGTAGTTACTGCTGTTGGTACTACTATAGAAGGTAAGCAAATTAAAACTGCTTATGGTGGTTCTGTACAGTACTATACTGTAGAAGATTCACAGACCTGCCAACTCACCCAATATTTAAACAAATCTCCAGTTCTCCCGATCGAATGTAATTTTCACCCGATTTTAGAGGCCACCCCGCTCCCCAAAAATACTCCGATTTATGCATAATTTGATTGATTTGATCGTTATTATTCAATGTATTCGCCGCCTGCTCGCTTTGCGGTGCAATAAACAAGCGGCCATTTTCAATTCGAATGTCGCCCATTAACGGCCAATGATTTGTAGTGATGTGAGCTTTTTGGTATCTTGCATCCTCTTTTGGTTAATTCCGGAACCTCCAGATTTTTTGGTAAATCTGCAGATTTTTTTAAATTCTTAAAAAAATCTCCAGATTTTCATGACCCAATGGTTGGCAGGTCTGGATTCACTGCCTTGTTGCCTTTTTGGTATTCTGTTATTCTTTATATTTCATAGTTTACTTTTTATGTACACACCTTTTTAATGCACCACACTGCTCTTGTTAATGATAATTAATTTTAACAATATATGTTAAAAAACTAGCATGTATCTATGTAATAAATGAATGTATCCAAATTTTAAGGTAAGTTGAAGTAATAATACAGTATAATGTATGTATATTTACTTGTACAGTATAATAATATTGATTTTGTTTCAGGCTTTGTATTAAGAAGCTGTAGAAAAGTTTACAGTATATATTTGTCTTTCTCTTGATTAGAGTTCATGAATATTGTACATTTTATTCACAAGAAAAAACATTGTTCTATAATTACCTTGATCAGGTTTCATAATAAATGTCTGTTGAGTGTCCTATTTAGTAAAACCTGTAATTAAGCTGAAGTCACCTATGGATTGAACTACATTTGACCTAGATAAACTAATTTGTGACTTCATTAATCACTAGTGGCCTGTGAATGACCTGTCAGTTGACCTTATAAGCATAATGTTTTTCAAAGTATAAGTTTTTCAAGTGATATCGCATAGTATGATATACCTACAGTTTCAATTATTGTCATTAATGACCTAACTTGTTCTCATAATTAACCCTCATTGACCTCATCATTCTTTATTATATCATTTTTACCTTATTGTTGACCTACAAGTAGACCACTTTCAACTCTTCTATAATTATAAGGTTACTTATACACTAAGTACATTGCATAGTCACAAACCACGCCCATACGCAATTCAGCACAATGTTATTCTCCTACATTTGCATTCAATGACAAAATTTATTATTGACACATGTTAATAATGTACAGTATAAACTTTGGTAATATTAACATTAATCATTTTCTATGTTTGTTTGCCCTTGAGCCAACGTCTATGTCTCTGCCTTCTTCCCATATTTGTCATTATTCCTAACATTTCTTATGTAATTTGTTTTCTGTTGTTTTTTGTCTAAGTTTACTCTTTATTTTTGCCTAAGGCTTTACTTCTGATGTATTTAGTAGCAGTAGCACACTTCATACAACTGATTCTCCACTAATAACAGGTGATGGTGGTAAGCACGTAATAAAAAAAACTAATAGTAAACCAGAATCACACCACATCATCTATAGCCCACAGGAATTCACAAATTATCTATCTCATTGACTAAACTCTTGTCTCCAACTACATTCCCTTTATTCCTGAATTGATACCCTCTATACGACAGACTGAACATTCTGTGGGTTTCCTGTGTACCGCGGACTAAAACTTCTTTATCTTCAACTACTGTACATTTCACTAATCATCAATGTATATTTTACATTTTACCCGGATTCCGTGTCTGATTCCTCTTTGCAATTATGTTTGTTCTTAATATGTCTTTTTTATTTGTTTTCTTCAGTTGTTTTTGTAAAAGTTTTCTTTGTTTTTGTATAAGGCTTTACTTCTGATGCATTAGAAAGCAGTAGCACACTTGTTACAACTGATTCTCCACCAACAACAGGTGATGGTGGTAAGCACCTATTGCAACAAAATTTAAAAGAGCACATCTTTTGAAGCCCACAAAAATCACAACATCTATTTACTTTTTTCCTTTTTCCGCATTACTAAATAAACCCTTGCATCTCAACTACATTTGCACTATTCCTGAAAATGTTGTTATCCAGTTACGATACTTTAATTAACACACATGACAATAAATTCACATCAATTTCATTATTTGTATACACAAAGACATTTTACATGAAACTTGCTAAAAGCAAAACAATATAAATAAATAATTTTTTGTTTTCTATGTGTTTTACACTTTGGCCTGATTCCATGTCTGACTCTTCCTCCTTGTATGTACGGTTGTTCTTAATATGTCTTATTTTCTTTGTTTTCTTCAGTTGTTTTTGTAAAAGTTTTCTTTGTTTTTGTATAAGGCTTTACTTCTGATGCATTAGAAAGCAGTAGCACACTTCATACAACTGATTCTCCACTAACAACAGGTGATGGTGGTAAGCACATAATAAAAATAAAACTAGTAGGAAACCAGAATCACACCACATCATCTATGACCCACAAGAATTCACAACTATTTACAGTACTCTGACGTAAATAAAGCTGTGAAGATTAATTGATGAATGAAGTATTTACACATTGAGAATTGAATTACATTAAAAGCAAAACACAATTGCTATATTAAGAACATTTTTTAAATAAGCATATTGAGAATATTTAATATAAAAGTAGAATTGTATAAAAACATAAATACATTCATTCAATTCATCAAAGTGTTCTTACCCTTTATACTTCTGACTAAATATTCCATATCTCAATTTCTGCTATTTATTTCTCCACTAACAACAGGTGATGGTGGTAAGCACATAATAAAAATA